GATGATGATGATGATGATGATGATGATGATGATGATGATGATGATGATGATGACATCTGTAACTCACAGGAGAGTCTTTGGTCAGGAAAAGGCCGAAGAAGGTAATCTCGACGATCATGATGATGATAAGAGCGATGGAAAACTGAAGAAAAAAGCACAGTAATATTTCTTCCTCAGGTTGTTTTCCTTGTGTGTGTAGATATAAATCTAACGGTCAAACGTTTTCCTTGTGCGTGTCTGATATAAATCTAACGGTCAAACGTTTTCCTTGTGCGTGTCTGATATAAATCTAACGGTCAAACGTTTTCCTTGTGTGTGTCTGATATAAATCTAACTGTCAAACTTGTGTGCGCGTGTGTTGATATATGAGTCATTGAAAAAAAATGTCACATTTTAGATTCTCATTTTTTCGAAAAATGAATTTTTATGAAAAGTTTCGAAATAATATTGATGAAATATGTCCACCATCTGTAGACACAAGTGTGACATTTCTGAGCTGAATTCCGTCCAGTTAGAGCGTCACGTCAACTTTTGCGGCTTCCTAGGAAAATGTTCTCTCCTGTTACCAACAGAAATCATAGAGCTGTGTTACTGGAATAAGTTTTGGGGGGTTAATGCAATATATGTTGGTAAAACAAGGTCTTTTCATCCGGCAAATAATTTTTTAAAAAACAGTTTAGTTTTAGAATCCACGCAAAGTTATTTCGGATTAAAGTTTCAAATTTAAAAATCAGTGAAAATTTTAGAGTTTCAGTTTGTGATTCTCACTCTAAGATCAAACACATTGTGATCATATGAATTTCTATTCCTTTTATCAGTAAGGTGAAGCTAATCACACACTTACTTTTTAAAAACAAAGTTCAAGATTTTTGTAATGAACGTAAAGAGGGGCGGTAACAGGAGGGAAACGTGGGTTACAGGAGAGAAAGTGGGTAACAGGAGGGAACGTAGAAGACTGTTATCAGATTTTAACAACAAAACCTAAATGAATAACGGAAGAATGGATGG